GAAACTCCATCTCAAAAAATATATATATATGTATATAAAACTAGCCGGCCAGGAGGCTGAGGCAGGAGAATTGTTTGAACCCAGGAGGCGGAGGTTGCAGTGAGCCAAGATCATGCCACTGTACTCCAGCCTAGGCGACAGAGTGAGACTCCATCTCAATAATAAATAAAATAAAATAAAATAAAAATAAAGTAAAATAAAAGTGAAATAAAATAAAACGAGGGACTTAGATGCTGACATTAGGGTATCTAATAATGTTCAGCAAGCTTACCCTGGGGCCAAGGCAAAACTGGAATCAGAAAAACAGAAGCTGGGACTATGTTCTCTGGTGACCAAGCCCTGTCTGTCCCCCTCCCTCCTGGCCTCGGCCACTAGGACCCTGATTCCTAAGGATGTAGAACACAGTGTAGGCCTGGCTCATAGTAAATGCTCGGTCCATGTTTGCTAAATAGACATGATAGACAGGGCAAGGTTTCTCAGATGGTGCTCAGAGAAACACGAACTCCAAAACCACTAATCCCTAGGAAAAGGAGGTTCTTACTGAAATAAGCTTAGGAAACACTGGATACAACGGCCATCCTATGGAGTCCGTGGGATGTGCCAGGCACTGTGCTGCTGCGTGGGGGCTCTGCAAACATCGGCTTTTCACAGGAAACTTTCTGGACAGACAAGCTCCCCTCCTATTACCCACCAGGTAACAGCCTGAGAGCCTTAAAGGTAGTGAGAGACTCAGGATTTGTACCCTGGTCTGCCTGACACCAAACCTGTGCCCTTTCCACTCCATCAATGCTGCTTTTAGACCATCGCACACCAGGCTGAAGAGGTGAGAGGATGAGGTGTTTCCCACAAGAACATCTGAATCCTCAGGATGGATGGAGGAGCAGGGACAAGAACCCCCAATCCCCGAGACAGTTTCTGGCTCCTTCCTTCCAAAAAGCCCTACACATTATATCCACGTTGAGGCCTTCATGCAACAAGCTACTCATTCCTCTTCTCAGAGGAAGTGCTGAATGTCTAGCAACTTGGAAAGAATGAGGGATTCTTCTGCTGGGTTACCTGGTTAGCTCCAAGGAGAGTTAAACCAGGAGAACGTAGTTCAGGCTGGTATACCTCCCTATCTGTTTGTCCTTGGGGGCCAACTTAAAAGCAGTATTTACACAAGTCTCCAGATTCAAAACTGTCTCCTGTTTCCGAGGGATCCATCCCAACACACCTTCCCAAATCTCACTCCCCCTCCCCTCCCCCAAAGGCAAAGATCTCAGCTTCCTTCAGCCTCCTACCAGCTTGTTCTCGGAAGCACAAGCCCCTCGCCCTGAGAAAGTCAGCCTCCTGGCTGGAAGAGGCAGGTGGAGACGGCTTCCTTCCAGCTCTGCCCGGTCCAGGGCAAACGGAGCCTGGAGGCCACGCACTCCAAAACCACAGCCAAATTATCCCTGCACTCAGGCAACCAAAGACACTGACTCTTGCCCACGGCTATGTAGGGAGGAAGAACAGTCCTAGCCAGAACCAATATCCTCGAAGAGAAACACATACTCAAGAGACGTGGCATCACACACCTACTCAGAGATACTCACACTTTCAGAGAGCCCCTTCTTACGCAGACACATACACACACTCTGTCACTCACGTTCAACACAAACAAATACGCCCACTGGAAGCCAAGGTGAGTCACACGTGAATAGATATCACCCACACAGAGACTCAAAGCGAGGGAGACGCGCAGTCAGTTGTCACACAGATTCAGCACAGACGCAGTCAGTCCGCGAGGCCTCAGGTGCCTGAGCGCAGCGGGGGAAATGATCACTTCGGGGTTTGAAAGTTCTGCTCCCTGGATCGATTCACTAGTCTCCATCAGGGAGCACAACAGCTTCCCAAGCCCTGGGGTGTAGGACCTTTTGCAGGCGTCCCCCCACTTTCGCATCGCCTGTGCACTTAAAACAGGCAGTCCGCTTACCACCAGGTCTCTCCCTTCCAGGCTCAAAAAGGGCCCAGCAGAAAACAGGCATGGGTGCTGAGTCTCTTCTGTTGCCGACGCTCTCGGTTCTGCCTCTCCGGTCCTTTCCACACCGGCCTCCCTCTTCCCCAAAGTCCCGAGTGTCCACCCCCCTTACCCGCCCCTGGAGCCGCTTCGCCTCCACCAGCCTCAGTTGCGCCGCCTCCACGTGCCTCGCTCTTCCCAGTCTCCTCCCGAGAGGGAGCAGCGCACTCACCGCGCAGACTCCTGCCCTCCGGCAAAGTCCCACCGAGTCCCCGCTCCCCAGCCTTACCGGTCCCAGGGTTCGGGAAGGTGGGATGTGTGCGCTAAGCCAGTTCCAAGGAGTCCGCCCCGAGCGCCAACTCTTCTGGCCGCGGCGATCGCTCTGCGGGGACGACAGGGCGTCAGCGCGTAGAGCCGGGCTGCAGAACTGTCATTTCAGAAGGGGGTCCAGGCAAAACCGGAATTAGAAGAGAGGAGCTGGAGACTGTGTGCTCCCCAGTGCCAAAGCCCTGCCCCCA